TAAAAATAACTTAGCTAGTGATTTAGAAAGAGGCCTCCTAAATTATATATATTTAGGTTCAAAGAATACCTCAAATACTCAGTGTGATTTCAGGCAAGTTACTTAATCTGTATGCTAGTATAAGATGAGGATGAGAATACTTCTGTCACAGAAATATTGTGAATGGGATAATGGGTTACGAAATGCTCAGCCCATTGCCAGATATAAGCATTAAATGAAGATTGTCTTTATTACAATTTGCTAGGCAGGCAAGTTCCAGGTTGTTCTTCACTTTTCCAAATCTTCCTCTCCTCAATTCTCTTTTATTTTTATTTATTTATTTTTTAATGTTTTATTTATTTCTAGGAGAGAGAGAGACAGCATGAGCAGGGGAGGGTCAGAGAGAGAGGGAGTCACAGACTGAAACAGGCTCCAGGCTCTGAGCTGGCAGTCAGCACAGAGCCCGATGCGGGGCTCGAACCCACGAACTGTGAGATCATGACCTAAGCGAAAGTCGGACGCTTAACCAACTAAGCCACCCAGGCGCTCCTCCTCAATTCTCTTTTAATCTGTTTTGTTGTGTGTGGTTTTTTTTTAATTTTTAGTTTATTTATTTGAGAGAAAAAGCATGGAAAGGGAGGGGCAGAGAGGGGGCAGAGAGAGAAAATCCCAAGTAGGCTCTGCACTGTCAGTGGGGCGCCCAATGCGGGGCTTGAATTCATGAACCATGAGATCATGGCCTGAGCCAAAGTAGGACACTTAACTGACAGAGCCACCCATGTGCCCCTAATTTGTTTTTTCTAATCTGCTATGAACCAAGATTTTAGACATCTACCCTACCAACCTTTTTAGAATTAGGTCTAAAATTAGTTTTGAGTGAAGGCCAGGGAAGCTCTCCTAGAAGCAAAATGCATAGATTTCTGCATGTTAACTGCACAGAAGCCTTAACTTCTAGATACCCAGTTATGTCCCAAATAACAGAACTCTGTTATATAAATGACCTCTAAGTACTATTCCTGTCATATCACAATTAAATATTAAAAAAAGTTTCCCAAATAGTTATTTTGTTCACATTGTCCAGTAAAGTCCCTTGGAATTTAGAAATGTTCTGTTAGATAATGGAAAAATCTAATGTACCAGAACCTAAGATCTGTCCTAAATAATAACATGATGCCTTGGTATTTGTAAGTATTAAGAGCTAAGAACAATGATAGACCACAAATTTTAAAACATGAGTCTTTCACTTGTAAACAGCATTTCTTTAATACTTCTAATACTTCTATATAAAATATTACACAATAATGGATCTTTTTTAATAGCTCAAGAGTTATAATCTCTCCCAACTTTCTACTCCATTCCATGGACAGACTTGGAATATTCTATTACATGGATATATGCCAAATTTTGCATTTGTGAGTCTGTGTTTTGACCCCTAAATAAAAGATTCTATGGATCTACAGAGGCTATGTATCTTTTAGTAAATGGTATTTTGATATGTAGGTCCAGTCATAGTTGGGATACCATGGGTTATACTGTTATTTTCTAGTTAGACACTAATGAAGTAAACTTTAAATTTGAGGAAAACAATTTTTTTCAAAATGAGCAAATACTATTATTTTAAAATATAGCTCTTCATTCCTAAACTTTTCCCCAAAGTAGTAGACACTGCTGTTTATTTTCCAATATATTCTCCCCTTCTTCCATATTTTTTTTTTCTCCTGGACTCATTGCTACACGTCAAAATATTATCTTTAATCTTTCCCAACTTCCCTCGTGGGGCCAAGTTCTGACCAATGAGATCCCTATAATTTCCAGGTCTTTCTTTAGACTTCTTATCTTTCTCCTCTTTCTGCTGGCTAGAACCTTATTCACGGCTGACAACTGGGCTTACATATGAGGACAAATAAATTTCTTATTTAAGCCACTATTGTTTTGGTCTTGAACAGTAGCTGATCCAATGGCCCAGCTTTGCTCCAAAAAGACACTGAAGACATTGTCAGATATTTAAGTTCAACGAGTACTTTAGGGCTCTTGACAGTTAAGTTTCTAGCCATTCTACTTTAACTATGTAGTTCTCAACCAAGGTCAGCTAAATAATAATTTAAAAATATAAGCTTGACATTTTAGCAGTTTTGCTCTGTTATCAGGACATGTATATATAAAATAATATATACATATAAAACATATATATAAAATAATAATAGAAAGAGTAACTTATCTAATGATAAAAAATCTGAAATAGTAGGTCAAGTAAATTTTACTGTTTTTCCCCTCAGTGCTAAACTTCCCAGTGTTCCAATATTGGCTACCGGCAAATTTGGCTGCAGGTAAGAGATATATCCCATAATCAGAGCTCTTAGCACAGTGGGTATTTTTGTTCTAGATTGACACTGCCTGATTCCCAAGCTTCAGAATATTCTTATACCTAGATCTTATCTCCTCAACTATTCTAGAGGTGTAGGACTAGATTACATGTGATATCAGGCTTTGCTTATTTTACTCAAAAAAAAAAAAAAAATCTGCTCTAGCCCAAAGAGGTTAATAATAGGTATAGCAATTTTCTAGCAGAGTATTTGGAACTATGTTTAGGATGGTCTTCTCACTGAATGCATCTAGGTGTTAAGAGACTGAGGTCTTAGTGAGACCACAAACCTGAACCTACCTCCTCTGGATGAGATATTCAGAGATTAAGGTATTCGTGAAATTGGTGTTAAAAGGCTATCTTTACACTGATCCAACTGAAGGGAAAAAAAGCAAGCAAGCAAGCAAAGCTATCTTTAAATTTTGACCTAGAAGTATTAAAATCTAAGGAAGGCAAAATTTTACTTATGTTGCAATATGGTAGGATCTCCTCTGTTAGATTATATGCTCCAACAGGGATTTTAACTGTTACATTGCCAGCGAGTAGGAAAGTGTTGATACTTAGTTAAGCGCTCAATGAATGAATCTAGAGTTTTGTTCTGTGTGTGCCTTGGAATTTGATAGTTGTGACTTTTTTTTTAATTTTAAAAAATTCTCCATATATATATGAATAATAAATTAATTTTGGGGGGCATTTAATTATTTTAGTTTTCTGTGTGACAGAATGTAGGTTGGCCTGTAGTGAATACTTAAATCGATAATCCTATTGTTATTAGAAGAAGGAATCCTGGAATCAAATCCCAGGGACATTATTAACTTGTGGTGTAATCTGGGAGACTCAGTGTCCTCATTGGGAAATATTTTCCATGAGTCTGAAATTCTGAGTTTAGTGCTTAGTGTAATAATAGGTTCTCAATATTTGTTGAATAAGTTATTCTATACTGCACTCAATATTTCATATTTAGTTAGTAAAAGACTGAGTGAAACCTTTCTCAAAAGCTTTTACTTTATTTAAATAGCAAAAAATTTCTGAAAACTATTTCTTGGCAAACATTTTAAGCTTGGTAATTTTAGTCAAATATTTGAAAAATATGAGAAAATTTATTTTTGCATATCTGATCCACAAGCAGCAAGCTCCCCAATTCCTTACTTTCAACAGTTTTGCCAGTCAGATATCATTATCACCAGCTTTTAATAGCTCTGCCTCAGAAATGAAAACAAAGCATGAAACTAATTATTGTATTTTGCAAATTTAATCAGAAACCATATATAATAAGTTTTAATCATATTACATTGCTGATACTCCACTGTTCTTGGCTTTTCCATAATTGGTAATTTCAAACTCAATACATTTAGTATTAAATACAGTGTTTAAGAACTAATATGACAATAGGGGTTCCAAATCCTCTCCAAGTACCTTTTACTGTTACCATCTCCTGTCTGTTGGAGGTGTGGCAGGTATTTTTCTAAAATCTCATAATATCATGTCTCTTCTACATAGCATTTGTAACTTGTGATTTAAAAACAGTATAAATGAGTACTTAATATTTTGCCAAATATTCTAAAGGGGTAGTGTGAATAATTAAACGTTTTATAGGGACAATATACTGATAGTTCCTTAATGCTCCTTGATTATTTAGGTTCGCGGTTCACAAACTTTTAACGTTCTTAACAAATCACTGGAGAACTTACTAAAACCCAGGTTTCTGAGCCCTTTACCCAGAGATTCTGATTCAGTAGACATGGGTGGGGCCGTGAATTTGCCTTTATTGCAAACCCTCACAGCGTGCTTCCGTTGCTGGATCCTGAAATCATAACTTTGAGAATCACTGACCCAGAGTACCTAAGACATTTCTCTGTAGTAACCCCTCTTCTTTACTTTTGAAAAAAAAAATTTTTTTTTATAGTTTATTTTTGAGACAGAGACAGAACATGAGCTGGGGAGAGGGCAGAGAGAGGGGGACAATCTGAAACAGGCTCCAGGTTCTGAGCTGCCAGCACAGAACCCGATGTGGGGCTCGAACCCACGAACCGCGAGATCAAGACCTGAGCCGAAGTCGAACGCTCAACCGACTGAGCTTTGGTTTTTCAGTAAATAAAACTCAGGTTGATGAGGTGTGATAAATTCCCGTAAGCCAAAACCATTTCTTTGTGAAGTGCTGTATTAATTGTAAGGTAACTGTAAATGGGGTTTGCTTTCTCCATTATACTGCTCACAATTTCAGGATGACTAACTCCCAAGAACTTATCCACCTGTCCGTTCTTCACGACCTCTCAGCGCGCTGGCTTGCCAGGAGGGGGCAAGGGTCGCCCCAGCCGCGATCGCTAGGCCAGAGAAGCTTCTTTACTTGCGTTATCAGAGGCAGCACGTCCAGCTTGAGAAACTGCAGGCGGCGGCTGATAGGGAAGTGCGTGGGCGCCAATCTAGGAGACCAAAGCCGCCTCACCGCGGGCGGCTGGCCCGACCCCATCCGCGAGTCTTTTCTCCCCCTCCAAGAGGTCCTTCTTGGAGCCCCGGAAACCTAGCAGGGGCGAGAGAACGCTCCTGAAAGGGTGCAGCGGGCAGGTTCGGACCCGCGACAGATCACGCGGCTACTCTGCACCCTGAGCCGCCACCTCCGAGCAGTCCCCGGATTGCCGCCTCACTCGGCGCAAGAACCTGCCCAGCGCCGGCTCTCCGGGCAGGAGAAGCTCCGCTGGCGGGCAGCGAGGCAGGCAGCACGGTCGGCGAGCTCGCCCACTCTTCTCGGCCCGCTCCGGAGTCCCGGGCTTTCGAAGATGTCCGCCAAGCCCGAGGTCGGCTTTGTGAAAGAAGCTTCTCGCCAGATCCTGGCCGGTGGCTCCGCTGGTAAGGCCGCCCCGCGAGGGGACTGTCTCTTTGCCTTTCGCGTGTCGCAAAACTTTCCTCAGACAACTCTGGCAACCGAAGTTTCCCGACTAAGTGCAGCGCTCCAGGCGCCCCGCCTGAGCCCGCCGAGCGCCGGAGCGAACGAGGCCGGGAGCGGGCGGCGGGGGCCCGGCGCCTCAGGTCAGGTCGCCGCCGCTCTCGGGGGCCCCGCCTTCTGTGTGTTTAGCCTGAAAAGCGAGATAGGTAGCCCCAAGGCCTGCAACTTGGAGGAGGCCTTGATGCCTGCCTGGCGGTTTTACTTGAAGCGATCCAGTTTCCGTCAGACTTAGTTTTGCTATAATTTGCAGCCTGTTTCTTCTGGGCTAACTCAGATCTTACATAACTCCTCCATCATTAAAGTATGTACCTCAGGGCTCTACAGGTCTTCTTAGTGCAGACAGTGCTTGCTGGGGCCTATTCGAGCCTTAAATAGGCATATTAAAATTAAATGCATACGTTAACACCCATAAACACCTTTCGCATAAGGGGTTCACATAAATTTATGGAGAGTTACGCTGTGGGAAAAAAACTAGAAAAAATTTGTTATAACTAATCATGGAAATAATTACTAAGCGTGGCTAGAGATAATTAGAACCCATGGGATTATGTTGTGTGGATGTATTTTAAAGATACTTTAAAATATAAATTAAGAGTTGATCGAAATTGTAATTTTTCGTAACTGTGATACATTTTTATTATCAACTTATAATTACTATAATTCACTCATCAGCATAAAATATTTTTGTAAGTGTAGATATTCTCTTAATAAGTTATACTATACTAACTCTAGTAAATCATATGAAGAGAGTGACTAGATGTCTAATGTTTAACGTCAACTAGTAAAATTTATTTTCGAACAAACTTGGACTTTTTATAAAGGCCTATTACAAATTATGACTAGTTATCATTATGTCATGAACTGCTTGCATCTCAGGAGTACCACAAGCAGCCACATCTATCAATCATAGTCTGTACATTCTCTAAAGATGATATTTCATTAATATGGCAATCAAGACATTCGCCTCTTATATGTGATTATGTTTTGTCCATCCATAATTATGATGTCAGTGGCCACACTGTCTGCTTTTTTTGTTGTTTCCCAGTAGTGATCATGAGTTTTCACTAGTTTACTCACCTGGTCAAATTCCACAGTATCCAAGACTCTGCCAGCTGTCCCTGACTGGGTTGATTCAGAGTCCATGACCCTGATCAAAGAAAACTTAGCTGTCCTAATGGGAGAATAAGGCTAATTGGTGAGCATCCTGATCTCTGATTAAAAATTCAGAAGCATCTTTTTATTGGCTGAGATGATCATACTAGATCTTAAACACAGCTAAACTCAAGGAATGGTAAGAGTGGATCAAACTATAATCCTACTTACACATTAAAAATTTTTTTTAAATGTTTATTTATTTTTGAGAAGCAGAGAGAGACAGAGCACAAGCAAGAGAGCAGAGAGAGAGGGAGACGCAGTATCTGAAGCAGGGTCCAGGCTCTGAGCTGTCAGCACAGAGCCCGACCCAGGCTCGAACCCACTAACTGTGAGATCATGACCTGAGCCAAAGTTGGACACGTAACTGACTGAGCCACCCAGGTGCCCCCCTACTTACACATTTTTGTTGGATGATAAATATTTGGCACAAATGTGTGATTCCGTCATGTTCTTACAGTTATAACTAATATGAATGAAAATTAGTATATTTCTAAGATAAATTGAACATAGTGCGGTTGATTCATAGATTTAGTACTACAGAATTATTGATAAATGATGAAAGCAATGTATACTTTCATCATAGTGAAAAGGGGTCATGATTTTTACTTAGGTAATAACATTTTCATAAAACTTTATGTTTACTGGTTTTTAATAAATGTAGAGTAATAATATTACATATACTAGGTCAAGGGCCAAAAAGAAATTAATATACAAGAGAGGTAGAATTTTTTCTTTTTTTTTTTTTTTTTACAAATAGTTTATTGTCAAATTAGTTTCCACATAACACTCAGTGCTCATCCCCACAAGTGTCCTCCCCCATGCCCCCCCCTCCCCCCCACATCCATCAGTCCTCAGTTTTTGTCAGCATTCAAGAGTCTCTCATGGTTTGCCTAAGAGAGGTAGAATTTTAATAAATATAGGAAATGTGTTCGAATCTCTAGTGCTGAAGTTCTAGTGCTAAAATGCAGCACTTCTGTGTGTGTGTTATATGACCTTTTGAGGGTAAAGGTTAAAAATACATTTTGGCTTTCTTAACGGGGAAAAAAAGCTGGGGAAGTTTATTGGAGAAATACCAGGAAATCTCTTAGAATTCAAGGTGTGGATGCATTCCTGGAAGAGACTGGAATCAGGAGCTAGAGAACTGAGGAGAACTCAGGAAGTCATCCTTTACTTTTCCTCATGTTGTCAAATGGTTAAGCATTTCCAAGGCAGCAGGGTGGTGGCGAATAATCGGGTCACAAGTAATACTAATGCAGTTGTTAGGATGGCTTGCCATATTTCCATAGAATTGCCTGATAAGGAGTAAACATGCCCAAATGGGTTCCAACAGCTAATTACTTAGAAAGGCAGGAAAAGCAAGTGATATGGTGTCAGTTCCCTGGATCCCTTTTTCCATGGGCAACACCAAACTGAAGATGCCAGATGATAGACGGTATGAGCAGTGGGTCACTCTGCTGTTGAGGAGGTGCCTCAGAACCACAGCCAAGTAGTTTTATTGACTTACACTGAAGGCTGCAGCTTCCCTTGAGTTGGAATGAGTGGTAAGTCTTGAGTTTAACGGAAACTAGGGAGACAGATGAGAAATGGCCTTATGGTAGTCTTCCATACGATAACAGGAGAAATGGCATCTATCTGCTCTTTCTCACCAGGCTGCTTATCTTCCCTTAGACCAGAAGAAATCATAGGGCATTCTGCCAAGACTCGAAGCAGTCTGTGGCCTAGCCATGGCCACAGATTATGTGGAGATGTGCAAGCTTGTCAGTGTGCCATACTGTGGAGGTATTTCCCTGTGCTCTCCTGGTGCCTTTATCAGTCTTTCTTTTATTAAAATTTTTTTAATGTTTAGTTATTTTTGAGAGAGAGACAGAATGTGTGGGGGAGAGGGGCAGAGACAGAGAGGGAAACACAGAATCTGAAGCAGGCTCCAGGTTCTGAGCTGTCAGCACAGAGCCTGACATGGGGCTCGAACTCATGAATTGCTAGATCATGACCTGAGCCGAAGTTGTACACTTAACCAACTGAGCCACAATGTGCCCCTATCAATCTTTTTTTCTTACAACTGACTGCTGTTTTCTACTCTTCCATCCACGTGACAAAATGTGGTTCCTGACAACTCTTGGATTTACATTCTCTTCTATAAAGATAGTGAGAGACTAACTTGATTTTTTTTTTTCAGTTCTCATGTAAAATACTGGGGAAAGACTAAAGATAAACCAGTTTTGGAGAGGGGCCCACCTCTGCACCAATAAATGGTAGCCAGTGCCCATGTTGATGGGTGGGGCCACAGTGGGCATGGGAATTTCAGGAGAGCTCTATTTTCCAGAGAAGTTCTACACATTATTAGATAGGCAATAGATGTTTTTCATAACAATATATTCATAACAATATATATCTATCTTATATTAAAAGATGGTTTGTGATACTTGAATTTAAAAGACCAAAGAGATTAATGCACTTACAGTTGCTTGGACAGTATACAGCTAAAGGCTGGACTTGAGCTGTAGCTAATATGTAAAGATATTGTTACCAATGGCAACTTTGTTTTATATGATGAAATCTGTGCTCAAGACAGGTCAGTGTGTACTGAACTTTTACAGAGCAGGTTTCTAGTCTGTATTTTCAGTTTCAAGTAATTGCATAAGATTCACATGAAAGAAAAAGCCAGTGATGAGAGCTTCAGGAAGATCAGCAAGGCCAAACACTGCATGGGGGGTAAGGATGAGAATGAGAAGAGGACATTGGATTAGACCCTTGGTGCTCAAAGTGTGAGCCATGGATGAGCAGCAGCAGGGACATGGTAGCACCTGGAAGCTTATTAAAAATGTAGGATCTCAGGCCTTCCTCTAGACCTGCCATAATCAGAATCTGAACTGTAGGACAGACTTCAAGTCATTTGTTTGCACTTTCCAGTTTAAGAAGCACTGCTTTAAAAGATTTTTGAGGAAAAGAGATTTTATAGAGGAGAATCAGATTTCAGAGGGTTACAAGTTAAAACATTCTTGGCTTTTACTGCTGAGCTGAGAAAGAAGACTGAATTCTGTACACCTTATTATGTGCCCCCAGTTTAGCTGTCAGGCTTATCTACCACTCGTCTCCTACTCATACCGTTCAGTTTCTGCTTAATAGATCTGTTCTCCATACTTAAATGTTACCTGTAGCTTTCCATCCTTATTCCTAATGAAATCTTCCTCTTATTTTCTTAGCTATTGAAATTCTACCCATTTTCCAAGGCCAAGCTCAAAACCTGTTTTCTGCAGGAATGTTGTTCATATAGCCTCTACAGCCTCATCCAGTGTAACATTCTCATTAACATGTCAATAGCGCAAATAGTAACTAACATTCATTGAATAAATACTAAATGCTAGACCCAGTTCTAGCTTTACATGGATCAACATGTTTAATCCTCACCACAACTCCAGGATGAAGAAACTGATATACAGAGGGCCTAGTTAATTTGTCTAAGGTTGCTCAAGCATGCAACCATTTCTGTAGGAAATCAGGATAACAGAGGGACCAGAAGAGTATTATTTCCATTATCAGACAGTTTTAGAATTTGGAGAGATCAAATCACTCTACTATCCCTTATTATCTTTATATCTCTTCTGAATTTATATCCATTAAAAGAGATCTTGTATCTACAAATACCATTCTTACCGTGTTTCTGCTAAATGGTATGTTGTTCTCTAAACAATTTCATGTGTATGGGCACAAGATTAGCTTTTAGCCAAAAGAAAATTCTCAGTCCATT